TGGCTGAGCAGAGAGTTTTGGCTGAAACTCGGTTAAAAAAAGAGTTTATGACCTTTGGAAGAAGGGACAAGCAACTCAGGAGGGCAAGAAGGATGTTGTAAGGTTGGTTGTTGGCAGGGAGAAAATTGGAAGGGCCAAAGCCCAAGTAGAACTTAATCTGTCTACTCTCATAAAATATAAGAGAAAATGTTTCTATAAATACATTCACAAAGGTGAATTTCCATCCTTTATTGGATGAAGGGGGAAACACAGTGACAAAGGATGTGGAAAAAGCTGAGGTATTTGATGCCTTCTTTGCCTCAGTCTTTAATAGTAAGACCAGTTGTTCTTGGGGTACCCAGCCCCCTGAGCTGGAAGACAGGGAAGAGGAGCAGAGTGAAGGCCCCATAATCCAAGTCAGTGACCTGCTACACCACTTAGACGCATACAAGTCTATGGGGCCAGATAGGATTCACCCAAGGGTACTGAGGAAGCTGGCAGAAGTGCTCACCATCTAATTTATCAGCAGTCCTGGCTAATTGGAGAGTTCCTCGTTTAATAGAGGTTAGCAAATGTGATGCCTTTCTATAAGAAGGGCTGGAAGGAGGATCCAGGGAACTACAGGCCTGTCAGGATGATTTTGGTGCCAGAGAAGAGCAGATCACCTTTACTGCCATCACGTGGCACATACAGGACAATCAGGTGATCAGGCCCAGTCAGCATGGGTTTGTGAAAGGCATGTCCTGCTTGACTAATCTGATCCCCATCTATGACAAGGTGACCCACTTAGTGGATGAGGGAAATGCTGTGGATTTTGTCTTCCGAGACTTTAGTAAAGCCTTTGACACTGTTTCCCACAGCATTCATGGCTTGGATGGGTGTGCTGTTCACTGGGTAAAGGAACTGACTGGATGGCCAAGCCCTAGGAGTGGTGGTGAATGGAGTTAAATCCAGTTGGTGGCTAGTCACAAGCAGTGCTCCCCAGGGCTCATTACTGGGGCCAGTTTTGTTTAATATCCTTTTTTAATGATTTGGACAAGGGGATTGTGGGCACCCTCTGTAAGTTTGCAGATGACACCAAGCTGGGTGGAACTGTTGATCTTCTTGAGGGTAGGAAGGCTCTATAGGGGATCTGGACAGGCTGAATTGATGGACTGAGCCTTTTGAGGTTCAACAGGTGAAGTGCAAGGTCCTGCACTTGAGTCACAACAGTCCTTTGCACCATGCAACACTACAGTTTGGGGAAGAGTAGCTGGAAAGTGGCTTAGTGGGAAAGGACCTGAGGGTGTTGATCAACAGATGGCTGAACATGCGCCATTTTGTGCCCAGGTGGCCAAGGCCAACAGCATCCTGGCCTCTATCAGAAATAGTGTGGCCAGCAGGACCAGGGAAGTTATCGTCCCCCTGTATTCGGCACAAGTGAGGCTGAATCTGAAATACTGTGTTCAGTTTTGAGCCCCTCACTAAAAGAGAGACATTGAGGTGCTGGAGCATATTCAGAGAAGAACAAGAAAGCTGATGCAGGGTCTGGAGCACAAGTTCGATAAGGAGCAGCTGAGGGAACTGGGTTTGCGTAGCATGGAGAGGAGACTTGGGAGAGACCCTACGATTCTCTACAACTACCTGAAAGGAGGTTGTAGTGAAGCAGGTGTTGGTCTCTTTTCCCAAGTAACAAGCAATAGGACAAGAGGAAATGGCCTGCAGTTGTGCTGGGGAAGCTTTAGATTGGATACTAGGAAAAATTTCCTCACTGAAAGGGTTGTGAAGTGCTAGAACAGGCTGCCCAGGGAAGTGTTGGAGTCACCATCCCTGGAGGTATATAAAGAAGTGTAGATGAGGTGCTTAGGAACATGGTTTAGGGGTGGACTTGAGAGTGACAGGTTAATCGTTGGACTCTGATCTTAAAGGTCTTTTCCAACCTAAATGATTCTAAATTATGTAATTGTTCATGTAGGCAGCCAAAACTGCATTATTATTTATATTTAACATAGCATTTTACCATATGCTTGGGCATATGTCCTCTAAAATACTGTTGTGTCACCTTTCATTTATGGAAGAGTTTTATTCAATATGAAGCATTAGAAAGTAGGAGCCTAAGTAAATTTCTGGAACAATGGCTTTGAGGGAGTAAAGAAACATCTTTCCATCTTGATGTCCCAGAAAGTATAATATGAATGAATACTGTATTTCAAAAATAGAGCAAACAGAATCATCAGAAGTATGCCAGTGCTGAGGGCAGCCTGGGGCGCAAATCACTCACAAAGGAGATTGTTACTGTAATGGTTTACAACTGCAATGAATTTGTTTTGAAACTGTAGAACAAATTTTCTTAGACATCCTCACTTTGCAGGTTGATTTAATGCTGTTTGCTGCATCCTGTGATCAAGAAGTATTGAATAACTGAGGGTGGATATATAAATCAAGATTTTCTTTCTGTGACAGCATAGCTGTGCAAGTGCATCTAAAGTAAGCTCGTAATAATACATTTTTTAATGGGATGTTAATGCAGTCATTCAGGAAAGGAGACCTTCATGGGTATTTTCATCTGAACAAACCTGCGCAGAAGAAATTAACCTGCATTAAAATGCTATAACTGTAGACAAATTGTCCCTATCCAGTGGTAATTTCATTAAACAGCTGTTGGAATTGGACAGTTCTGAGCACTGAAAATATTTTACTTCCTTCAAGAAGACAATTTATATGGAAGACATCGGGCACTTTAAAATGAAATTTACTCTCTGGAGCAAGTTGAAGTTGAAGGTTAGAGGTGATTGTCACATTTTTGAGAAAGCACGTTGGTAAAGAAGAACCTAGTGGCCAAAGTCAACTGAAGCTGCATTTTCCCCTTCAGATTTTTATGTGGTAGCTGTGTGTGGGTAGATGACTGAGACAGAGCAGATTGTAGCTCTGGTTATTGTAAGAGAGATTATAGCTTCTGAGGGGAGGCCTAATGTATTCCTCCCACACCAGAGCAGTCTTGCCAGTATAATGCACTGAGGAGTTTCCTTTCTCTAATTAGTTCTATGTCATTAGCCTTCCTTCTACTCCTAGGATAGATGAGATGCACAAAATAGCATAAGGTGATTTAGTTTCTTTTTATGTGCATCTAAGGAGCCATACTCTCACGTGTTTAGAAGAGTACTTTAAATTTTAAAAACGAGTTGGTACAGAAAATGAGTAAGAATGTGCCCTGGGGAAGAATTCAAACATTTATTCTGCTGTTGTGGTTATGCTTTCGCTACGCGACACCTTAGCTCACAGCATCATTTCTTTGTTTCACTGGGGAAAGAATAACAACAGTGGCCCCTTTTTTAACTCACACACTTTAAAAAATATACCCAACATTAGAAAGCAGCTATGGTGAAATAGTTACTTTAGCTTGGTTTTTGGACTAGGATTCCTGTGTTCTAAAGTCTAGGAGGGAGGAATAATAGTCTGTCTCTGTGCTCTGGAGGCCTTGTACATTCTATAAAGAGCATGCTTATGGTAGATCTTACAATACTGAGTACTTATTGTAAATAAATTTTTAAGAGCATGGGCTTTTTTCTGTTTTGGGGGGCTGACACTGTTGCTGTTTGCCTCATTGTGCAGTGGCTTGCACTAGGCTGTGGCTGATGGGTGGCCTGGTTGTGGCTGAGGTGGGCAGTGGTTCCCTAAGGTTTTAGGCCTCTCTGCTCAGCCAAAACTGCTTTGCATCAGTTGGAGTTTCTTGGCTCAGCTGTCTTCCTCAGGCATGTATGGGGGAGAAGAATGGAAGAGCATATGAACTGGTCTGGGAGCTGGAAGAGGAGGCTGGGCTCAGTGTTGCTGCCATTCCATCACTGAAATTCTCAAATGATCAAGAGGCAGCACTTCATTACGAAGTGGTTAATCATTTGACAGTGATGGTTCCTGCATTCTTAGAAAAGGAATTGTCTCATGTCATCTTCCGGTCTGATTCTGTGTAACAGTTGCTAGTGAAGCTATATGACATGCACTTGCCTTTCAGTCTTAGGAGCTTTTAGATAGCTTAATTATTTAAGGTATTTTCCTTCTCAAGGGAGAAAAACAAATGAGAGAAGTGTGCTGAGATAAAGAATTAGGTCAACTCTCTTCCACTAGTAAACAAATGAACAGCAGTGACCAAAAAATAGAAGTAAATAATTTCTATTGATGTTAATTTCTACCAGTAAATAATTCCTACTAATCAAATGTGATGTCCTGGAACCTGCCTACAGAGCACTTTGATGGGATAGCTTATAATGATATCATGGATAGAAACTGGACCGTAATTGCTCCATCTGTCCTCTAAGAAAATGTCACTGTTCTGCAGGAAATGCCAAAGCAACAATTTCTGTATACACACGCACGCGTGTGCCATTTTATTCATTAAATAACAAAGTGAAATGTAACACAGATAGCTAGTGTAAGTATTAATGCCCTTCCATAAACAAACCAAAACACGAAGTATTTCTATTGCTGTTGTTTCTAGTGGTTATGTTTTCTTCCATTGGTAAACCATGTGTATGCATCAATATATTGTTGTTCAGGAATGGCTCTTGGCTCTGCTGCTTGTTCAGAATAGTGGGGCTTTTCATCATGGTGAGATGTACCAGCTTTGGGGACAAGTTTAGCTGCAAGAGATCTTAAAAAAACTTGAGTCCTTTAGGACTGGGCTACTGCCGAGGGTCTGCTTAATTCGAATTACGAATTTCATTCTGTATGGTTTGGGTCTTTTGAATGGATTTCTCAGTGTTTGAAGGAATTTGCCTTGTGTTTTGAGTTTCAGTTTTTGGGTAGCATAGACAAACACATGAACACACACATACGTGTATTTAATTCTTAAAGTTTTCTTTCATGCTGATATCTGAGATTAGATTTCACTCTTCTGTCATTTGAGAAAACTTTTTTTTCTTTGTTTTGCTGCTGTTAAAACTGGGACTGGTCAATATGAATCATTAGTGTCTAATTGTTCATGCGGCATATCCACGAAGAACCGTAAGTGGTGTAACTGCTTCATTTGCTTTAACTCTGTCTTGCAGAGTGCCAAAGTGCTTGCAAAGAAGGAGCTCTCCTACATGCCCATCATTGGCTGGATGTGGTATTTCCTAGAGATAGTCTTCTGCAAGCGTAAGTGGGAGGAAGATCGGAAAACAGTCGTACAGAAGTTGCTGAATCTCCGGGACTACCCTGAAAACTTTTGGGTGAGTGACGACTAACAAGTGGAGTGTAAAGTGCTGTAGTGCTTGGCGTAGTATGAAGGGCATAGACAATATGTGACGGTCACCAGGTTGCTCCTGAGAACTCTGATTCATAAGCTTCCTGGCAGTATCAGGAGAGTGTTCTCTAAGAATTGAATTTTCTCTTGAATTTTCTGTGTAATAGTCTGTCTTGTCTGTTTTCTTCTTCTGTAGTATGGAGCCCTACAGATGTTATTGCAAAAATACCTCCACTGCAGTCATTCAGTAAACTTTGTAGTCCTCTAAGTACAGGAGCTTGAGAGTGGTAGATGTAGGGGTTCATAGCAGTGTATCAGATGCATGCAACAATGTTGTATTGAAATACATTAGCTGTATTCTTTACCTGAGCTTGCGTCTCACCTTAGATTGCAGAGTTCAAACTATTTTCTTCTTTTTCCACTTCCCTGTGATTCTTCCATTCCTGTGAAGGTGGTAGGTCAGACATGGCCCAGTAGAAGTGGAAGCCACAGATAAGTACCTGTCAGAGAAGTGACCTTTGGGGCCGTTGGCTGTGTTACAAGGAGAGGATTTGGGTCACCTTCCAGTAACAGAAAAGTGCTGTGTTTTGCATCACCATTTTTTAGCATGGAGCCTGTCTGGCATTTCCTAGTTCTAGAGGGAATGAAAAGCCTTTGATTTTGTTCACTTCTTGGTATTCGGAAAAATCCTTCTTCTTGTGAGCTGGATAGTGAGAAAGGGGTTTGGTTAAGGAAATAGTATCTTAAGCAGCTTTACAAGGGCCTACAGAAACTATTGCTTAAGAAGCAATTTCCTAGTGAAGACAGAGATATTCTGTCTTTCATTCTTTGAAACGAAACCTTTTTTGGGTTTTGTTTTCCTTCTTTTTTTTTTTTTTAAATTATCATTGATTTAGATGAGCACTAAGCAACCGAAACACAGCTCTGTGCTTCCATTAATGATTAAGTGACTTCCAGGCAGGGGGCTGTTCAGCAAAGGGACGATTCTTAGTTTCTAGTTCCAATCTTTCTCAGAGGGAGAGAACTCACAAAGCCTGTGCTCTGTGACTCTTCAAAGGTGTGAATGCCCATCTGCACACCTAGGCAGTTCAGTTCTAATTGGTGAGCACAAACTGCTATCATTCTTTATATACTGTTGTAGAGGGATTACTAAGAAGGAGCTGTATCTGTAATGAGAGACGTACAGTTGTTAATGTACATCTGGTGTTATTGCAGTGTGTAGATATAATTTGCCTTTGTATGGTGACATAATGTCAAAATGCACAGCAATAGCACCTGGGAAGGTAGAAAGAGCAGAAGGATTTTCTCATCAGTTTCTGTATGTTTCATCTGGCTGTTTAACATTATGCATGTGATGCATGAGTAAAAATGCTCTTTTACTGATGAACTGGAACTGAAGCTGGCTGCTTGGCTAGTTTTTTTAAGTCTGTCTTTGTTGGCTAAATCTTTGCTGTGGGTTATGAAGACTTAGCTTCTGCAATTTGGCAGTGCTGTCTGACATGTTAGTTTACATTCAGGCTTGGCAGAAAGCAGATGAGCAAGTGGTTAATCTCCAAAGATCTGTCTGTTCTTCTCCCCTGCCTGCCAGTGGCAAAATTATAATTGTTCATGTCTGAGCACTTCCACTCATAAGGGGATGAGGCTTTCAGTTGTCCTGCATCTACTGCCGTGCATCTCTTAACAGTTGTCGCTGGCATCATAGTTACTGTCTGCAGTTGTCAGCAGTCCTGATGCCATAGTGACAGCAAGCAGGTTGAAGTGAGGGAAAGCAAGCAGGTTGAAGAGATGGGAAGCAAGCTGGGCACTGAAGCATTTCTTAGAAATATGTTTGGTTTAGACAGTTACCAAGGTTTAGATACCATGGCACTCAAACTCTACACCGTCAGTGAGAGATTTGCAACAGGAGGTATGTTTTGAGTGTTTTCTAATCTCTTATTAAAGATGGAGTGACTCATTTAGAGAAATCAAGTCGTTCTGATAGCAAGTAGCAGAGCAGATGTTAAAGCCTAAAGGCTAGAGTTTAAACCAGAGGATGGCAAGTTGGGTGGGTGGGTGGGGGCAGTTGAGGCTCCAGGGCAATTAAATCGGCTAAATGTGTATTTGGCTAGAGGTGTCCCTGCTAGCAGTGTTCATTTGGGCTGTGTTAGTGAGAATTAGAGGCTCCTCTGGTCAGACAGATGCAGAAGATGTGAGCTGCTGTTTAACTGTAGTTCTCTCTTGGTTTTAGTTCCTAATTCATTGCGAGGGCACAAGGTTCACAGAACAGAAGCACCAGATTAGCATGCAGGTAGCTGAAGCCAAAGGCCTGCCCAAGCTCAAATACCACCTGCTGCCAAGAACAAAAGGATTTGCAGTCACCGTGCAGTGTTTGAGAAATGTAGGTAAGGAAAGTCACACGGAACAATCCTAAATGGTTATTTCATGTAACTGCTGTCACTTTGCTCTTCTTTTCCCTGCAGCATGTGTCATAACAGAAAAGCCCTGGGAGCCTTTCTGACTTTTCTTCCACTAGCCTGCAAAAATTAAAGATTAGGTTTTACTAACAAAGTCCTGGGGCACCTTGGTGGTTTTTTTGGTTGTTGTGTTGGGGTTTTTTGTGTGTGGCTTTTGTTGTTGTTGTGGTTTGGTTGTTTTGGGGGGGTTTGTGTGTTGGTTTTTTTGTTGGGGCTTTGGTTTTTTTTTTGTTTGGTTTGGGATTTTTTTTCCCTGTTTTTGTTTTGGTTTCTGTTACTGTGACTCTGTATTGGGGGATCTCAGGTTGCGTATTTTGTACCTCTTGTTGAAGGGCAGTATTTCTTAGTATTTACTAAGCAATCCTGTTCTAAATGAAGCTAACCCATCACTAGAGAATCTGAGGCAGTGTGTCTTAAATATTCTCTTCTGGTAAATGTCTGCCTCCGCACCCTTTTAAAATCAAAACCTATTCTGCTTTAAATTTCTCTATAGATGTACGCTTTAGTTTCTTTGTGGAGCTGGGTAATAAAAATTACTTGCACTTGCCAGCTCTAAAGTAACATCAGTAAGAACATGGCACACATACCTTTGAAGTGATTTTCTTTGACTAATAAAATCCACCGAAGTCTTCTGCTGTATACTTCACGGGCAAAGGAAAGACAGTGCTAATTAGCCATAGTGCTACAGTATCTTTGGGGTTTGGTAGATTTGTGTGTTGCTTAGAAGGCTTATATGTAAGAAAGACAAAGTGGTCAGTGGTTTAGAAGAGAATGTTCTAGTTTGATGGAAGTTAATGTCAAAACCTCTTTTGTCTTTGAAGACATGTTTTCATGAGGCATATCTGGGATAGCTGCTTTAAAAAAAAAAAAGAAGCTTTGAAGTCAGCTGTCTTGCTCTCTGTTATTTTAATTCTACATGTCCTCTTGCAAGTCAGGTAGATGGTATCGCTATTGTAGCTTGTCAGGCATCCACAACTTCCCATCCCCAGAATGGGTAGCATAGATTGGATCTTTTCTGATATGTGGAAAAGAGGTAAGTTATTTGCAGCATCCAGCAATGCCCTTAGGGGCACAGTTTAACCTTCCCTTCTGAATATAGGTGACTTGTTTTGCTGAGGGTGGAGGGAGGTAGACTTAAGACACTGAAGAAGAGCTGAGTCAAAACTCTGTGACCTTCAGTGCCTGAGCTGGGAATCAGGGACAGGTTATTTTGGTGCTTTGTTTCTTTTCACTACTGTTAGTAAAGCAAGCAAACTTGGTATGATTGTGGACAAGTAGTTGATTCATGGGAAAATATTTCAAAAGGAAACATTTTTAAAGAACATGAGTGACCTTTATAAAAAGTTTTGGGCATTCATGTGATACACTACAGTAAAGCTTCTTAGGATCCTGAATATTTGAAATACCTTCAGAAAAAAAAAGCCTGACATTTCTGGATTACTTACATCCTTAGAGAAGTGTATGTTGCTATCTCAATCCAGAAGCTGTGACTTGCTAGATCAAACAGGGTACAGCTAGTAAGACGGAGGGTTCAAGGAGAAGCACAGAGTCATAGCTTCTCACAGTTTTTGTTGAAAAAACATACCTGAGGGAAACAGCTGATGACCCCAGACTGGTGTTGCAGAATCTACTAGGTATGTTGCTTTATTTGCCTTGCCACTTTTTGCAATGAGGGTGAGATAATAAGAGCTACTGTGTGGGTTACAATAATGTTTGTCTTCTTTAGAGACAAGGGGTGCATGTGAAGAGTATTTGCAAGTCCTTTGTAAACAGAGCTCCTTATAACATTCATATGTACAGGTAACAAGGAAGTCCAGAAATGTTTTTCGAACAAAGAATATGATGAAAGTCTGTTTTGAAAGTCCATAATCTAGAAATGTAAGTTCTGTCTAGAAATTGCTCCTTTCTTGCATGTATACTGATAAGGTTTGACCACTTATCTCTGTTAACCTGCATGGACATTTAATGCCCACATTATAAGTGGTCACATGCAGGTGTCAATATATGCAGAGGCTGTATGCTGTAATAATTTGGGCAGATTTTTGTTTTGAGTATTTACCTTGTACAAAGTACTCTTTGACTTGTTCACTGTAAATCCCCTAAGTTTTATTGTTATGCTCTGTCGTATAAAGCAGACCTGCCAGTGACTGTATCCCTCTATTACAGCCTCAAATTACTTCTAACAAACAACATTGGTGTGACTGCTGAATTGCTGTTCTGCAGAAGCAGCAATGGCAACAAGCAGACGTTCATAACTTTAGTTCAGTGACATGACTAGTGACCTACAAGAATAACTCTTGCAGGCTGACCTATCCTGTGTGGCGCTATTCACACCCATTTTGGTGGCCAGGTCTGCAGTGGGGTATTCCTACTTGTCTCCGAAAGTGTGAGAATGGGGCTGAGTGCTGGCTGAGCCTATTCTGGGGCCTCCCACTTAAGCTAATGCACTTCTGCTATTCCACAAGGGGTGGTGGGCCTGGCTGGAATGCCTCACTAAGGGAGATAGCTGCAGTGTGACATAGCATTGAAGGCAAACCAAATGGTTTGGATCCAGTTCCAAGCTGAGTGTGACAAAGTCAGCATTTCCTTTTCCTCTGTTATTTGTTCCTCCTTTCTGACAAGGGTGTGATTCAACCTGTGAGGCTTTAGTACGATAGGATGTATGGATGCTGGTTTCTGTGGCTGTAGCTGTAATTCAAGCACAAAATGGTCCTTTTCAAAACTTTGTGTCAACTCTTGATGCTACCTGATGCACTAGTTCTGTATGTTGGAAACAGGCATTGGTGACAATCTGACAAGTCCATCTGTTTTGAAAAACTTAGCTTCAGAAGGAGTTTAATGTGCATACATGGGAAACTGCTTCCATATTGTCAGAATAACCGCAAGATAAAAATATCTTTCACACAAAATAACAAGAAAAGAACCTTCCCTCATAACTAATTTCTTTTATAAGTGATAATGGAATTCTTTTCTCTTCAGAGACTTACTTTCACAAATTCAGATCTCTTCACACAATTTGATTCTTAAAGGAGTGCTCTTAATAGTTTTTTTGAACTTGTTTTGATGTTTTTATCAGTGACCATCTCTACCAGTTTGTTAGTACAGACACAGTCCCCAGGAACTTCATTTCTAGAAGCTGTTTGCTGTCTTAATAACTTGGCGTTAGGTTTCAGAGTTTGCTGCCTATACTGTTCATGGAAGCAAATGAAAATACAGATCTGTTTCTAAAACTCTCATCCATTACTTACATTAAAAATAAATGTCATAAATATTGCAGAAGATATATTTAACTGTTACTTTTATTGCCTGGCTGTATATCAGGCAGTGCCTTTCAGCTGTTTTTATTTAGTTAAGATGTGTATTTAAAAATATGCCTCATGATGGGTTGTAGATAACTCCAAGTTGCCAACCTTTTCCTCCAATTTTGTCTGCTGGGAACTACTGTTCAAGAGGCAACGTGTGAGAATAAATTCCAGGATGATGCGCACGTGTAGTTCAATATGACAGTGTTTGGGGGTTTTGCAATGATGGTTTTTTTATCCCGTGAACTGCACTTTAGTCCTGGATTTCTTTTTCGATATTTACTGAGGCTCCTGGTCATCCTCCTGAGCAAGGTACCAAGTTTAAGAGGATGAGTGATTTTTGACCAAGAGCTTAAATGTTGGAGGATTGTGTCAAGGTGGCTGTTGTACCAGCAGCACAGTGAATTCCACTGTCTCTTCCTCTCTCTTTCCAAACAGTCTTCACTTCAGCTAATGAGGGGCTAGTATGAATCTGTGGGCATACTTGTTGCCCATTTGTCAGATGATTGTACTGGCATAATCCACCATGCCCACAAAATAATGTATGAAATTCAAGAGGACAGATGAAGTAAGAAAAATCCTCTCCAGAGAGTTAATTTCATGGGTTGAAATTCAGAAATTAAGTCTTAAATTCTCAAATACCTAGCTCTCTGTTATAATGCTGTACGAGGAACCAAAAGTTGAAGATATATTAAAAAAAAAAAACAACCTGGACAGAGATTAGAAAACAGAACAAAAACCCCAGCCTTTTTTGTCAGAAAATAGCCGTTTAGCTGGAAAAATGTTGTTTTCAGTTAGGATCTGTTCTGAGCCTTTGAAAAGGCTTCCAAATACTGAACTGTGTTTGGGTTTTAATTAAAAAGATGCTTCAAGATAACTTATTTGAGAAGGCATTTGGTTTTGCAATTGAAACAAAACTTTTCCAACACGGTCTAAATTAGTCTGAGAGTGAGACAGTTGTGATGCTGTCAAGGTACTGTAGAGTTGGGTTTTTTACTTGGTTTAGAGCGTGAAATTTCTGGACTCTTCAGCTTTCAGACGAGACAGTCATGAGATACGCACTTCTAATTATGTAATTATGAATTACACATTTAATGAAAAACAACCCCAGTGTGTCACACAGCATGCTAGTTCTGCTTTGGCTGTGGAGGCTTTCTGGCAGGTTTGAATTCCATTCAGTCTTTTTCTTTGATATGTCTAATGTTGTTCTTCTGCACTTACAAAATGGAAAAGTTTAAGTCTTAATTTGTTTTCTATCTGGATATGACAGAGGTCTGTTTTCTCCTGCATATGCTATCATTGTCTTGGATTTAGCACTTCATCGCACCAAAAGATTTCAGTGCGATGTTAAAAAAGGACTGAACTGAATATCAAACTACAGACTAGTTAAAATCTGGATTGGATTTTTGTTTTTTTGTTTTTTTTTTCCTTGGAGTGAAGAAAAACTCTGTGTTAAGTTATCAGCACATACAGATGTTCCTGAACAATTCTGCAGGAGTTTTTCAGAAAAGGAGAAGCATCTTCCAGTATGTCTGAACAAGCACCCAATCCATATAAAAACTCAAATGCAGATGTCTTACAAGTCCTGTGTGCGTCATACTTTCCCTTACTGTGTTCCTTTTGTCTAGAATAAACTCAGGCTATTAAAGAATAAACTGAGAAGCTTACCCTGTGTAAATCAAATTGTGCTCTTGTCTTCTTTCAATTACATAGGATTAGTAAATTAGAGTAGATTAGTAAAATCCTTCTACACTAAGCGTCTTAAAAATGGAGGGAGGTAGTTCATTCAAAATACAGTTTACTACTTACATTGCACAGCAAGAGTAGTGTGCTCAAAGTAGATTTTTCACTTACATGTTGTAGTTTTGAGTTTGGGCTAAAAACCCAGCTGTAGTAGAAAAAGAGTAGAGTTGTTAATGAAGGATACAGTCTGCATCAGCAGCAGTGTTTTGGCCTCTGCTTTCAGGATTTCTGTGCAAAGCTGAAGCCAGGCCGTTCTGTTTTGCGCTATGAATTCTGTTTTGCAATAACAAATGATGTGGTGAGTTTCTGGGGGTAAATGTTGTGACCAAGCTATATTTATCTCTTGTAGCTAAAGAGGTTTCAAAATGAAAAGCAAATCTGTCTAATAAAAGGCTTTCCTAGGTGGGTCAGGAGCTCTCACAATAGTTCATCTATCTCAGCGTTTGTTATTGTAAAACTTCAGAGCAGAAAACCTCAAATGTAGCAGGCTACATGTGAAGTGTATGTTAGTTGCTTTTGTGATCAAAAATAAATAAATCAAAGTTTTGTGGCTGGCATTGATTGTAGTGTTAATGCCACGATACGCAATTGGTTTCAGTGTCAAGAGAATGAATTGCTATCTAGTAATTTTGTGACATCAGGAAAACAGTGTCTCTCAGGATGTCTTCAGAGAAACTTGTTTGAAACACTTTATGTGGTTTAAAACAGTGAACACTTTTTCTGTAGAAACTACTTGTTAATGTTGTCTAGTTAAACTACGAACAACCATTGCAAATACTTTTGCTGTTACACGCAGTCCTGAAATGCAGAAGTTGTTTTCTCAAGGCTTAAAGCTTGGTTGTAGTTTTGTTCTGTGAAACTTGTATGTTATATCCCTCACTGCTGCACGTCTTCATAGCAGCAGCCCAGCTCACACAGGATGTGGTCTGTTACTATGTCTCTGCCTTTGCTGTATAGTAAGTGCCTCAGTTATCAAGTAATGAACATGAAGGCGAGGTTGCTTTGAGCCACTGTGATTCATAGTTGCATTAAGCCTTCTTGCTGTGGGATGTGGCTCGCGCACTTTACCCATTCTTTGTCAGTATTAAAGTGTGTATGTGCCTGGTTATTTATGCAGATTTGGAGGGGGGTTGTGTCATTCACAGTGAGTTGAGAATGCTAATAGTTTTTAAGCCATTTGGTTGTAGGATGTCCTAGGTATATTAACTGACAGAAACTGTAACTGTGCTCCCTGTGTCCCAACATCCTGCACCTGATGGTAGACAAGGGTGGAGAGGAAACCTTTCTATTCTACTGGTGCAGTTCTTGAAAGAGCCGCTGGTTATTTGGCTTCATAAAAACTGCATGTTGAATATTCCATTGTCATTGCTTTGGTAACAGCTCAAACTATGCTGCTATTGCTGATGACTTCATATTTAAATATGCTTCTTGCCTGAGAGAGAATGACTTATTTCCATTCTACAGTAATAACATAACCTGTTTCTCTTCTTGTAGTTTCTGCAGTGTATGATTCTACCCTCAATTTTAGAAATAATGAGAATCCAACATTGCTGGGAGTTCTGAATGGAAAGAAATATCATGCAGATTTATATGTAAGGCAAGTAATCCATATTTTAATTCCTTTTTGCCATACAGGAGTGTGTGCTTGCAATCACAATTCCACAAATAAGGGAAGTATTTTTGAGTGGATAATGGATAGCAAATCTCTACCAACCTGGCTTCGCACAACTGCAGATAAAACCTCATATGGGATAGGAAGGGTTTCCTGTAAAGTACTGTGACTGTAAGTATGTGGGGACCCTGTGAATGTCTACAGGATTTTTTTGTTATTTTCTTATTCACTTTTGTGTCTTTTTGTCAGCTTATCAGCAACAGTGGGGCCTCTTTTCACTCACTTGGCCAGAATACCAAATACCTAAGTGTTCAGATGGAGTGGCTTTACACCTGTCTGCCACCACAGTTCCCACTCAGGTGGAGGTCAGGCTCAGGACTGTTCCTATCTCTGCTTGATGTAGTTGTTAATGTATTTGACTGCTGTTCCCTCCCTTCCAAGAAGGGCTTTTTTTAATGAAAAGAAAATTACCTGGATTCTGTATCATAAATGTTTATATAAGTGATGAATACCCCAACAGTTTCCCATAATTCTCATGGAAAAGGGCCAGTTCCAAAGCCCTTATTCCCATGCTAGGTTCTACCAGCAGCACCCATGCTGCAGGCCCTCAGGTTATGTGATGGTTTAGGGTTTGAGCATAGGAGCCTAGAAGTGATCCCACAAGTTCATCATAACTCCTTTATAGCTATAATCGGCTAGTCCAACTGTTTTATCTTGGGTACCAACGTCAAGTGGAGTAGGGTGATCTTTTCTTCTTCTGCCTGTTTGAAAAAAAAGACATTTTCTTCAGAACCGTTTTGCCCAAGGTTAAAAGGAAATTTTCTTTTGATTCCTTATGGATGCAACATGAAGTTGCATCCCCACTTGGGTCTCATAGGTAGATCAGCCTAGTAGCCTTTTGTTTGGTGTACATGGCCTGGCTGGCCATGTGTTCATGGCGAAGTAACTGGCCCTACCTGCCTGGGCCATTCCTCCAACATTGCAGAGGTGTGCATCGTACTATGTCTCCCTTTACACCCTTCCAGCCTGCTGCAAGTCAGTCTGGCAGAGCATGGAAATTGCTGTTCACAACTCAGGTCAGCTATTTGCTCTTCTGCCCTTCTGAGCTTCCTGAAAAGCTCTTACAGACATGGTAAATGGTAAACCTCATGGCAAAATTTGTTTTGGCAATTAATTGGGGCCCATTAGGGATGCTCTTCAAAGTCTCCACATTTGCTTATTGAAGTGCTGCAGGTGTTGCACTCGGGAGAAGTTTGCAAAATTTGGATGCTCTTGTTAGTCTCTGCTTAAAATGTGTTGACATCTGATGTTTGTCATCTTATGACTTTCTTAAATAAAGGAACAAACCAATATTATTATACCTCTTAGTTTATTAACTGCAAACAGGAGTGTCCTGACTGTAAAAGAGCTGTCTCCTGTGCGGAAGGAGGTTAATTTGATGTTGCTCTTAATGGATATTAGTTACTATATATGCTATATTGAAAAATGTGAATTTGTTAAGTATTGCTATTAGCATACCTAAATGAGGATGACAAGGGGATTTTTTTTCTGTTGCAGGATTAGTGACCAAAATTCATGTAGTGTGATGAAATCTTTGTTTTGTCAAGAGAGGGTTTTTCAGTGATAGGAGCTGTTTTGCTGGAAATTTTCCAACCAAGCTGTACATAACAAAAATTATAAGAATGGGAAATGTTAGTACTAGATTGCTTTAACCTAGGTATAAGAATAGTTTGGTTTTAATCTCTGATACCTATCTGATTAAACACAGCCTTGAACCCCACAGGTGGGGTAAGAAATTAATTAATTCAAAACCTTTGTTTGGAAGCAGAAAATTGCAAACCTTTATCTGGAAGGGGCTCTAGTGAGCTCAGACATATGCATTACTGTTTCAGAAATCTAAATCTCTCAATTTCAGATACATCTGAAAACTGAACGTTTCTAGAAGTAAACTGTGCTTTGCTGATCTGGAAGCAGTTACCACAGATTAAAAAAAGGTGGAATATGGAGTTGAGTCTACTGTCAGTTCAATAATCTGTGTAATGTAAGTGCTGTTCATGGGAGCCGAAGTATTTAATATTCTTCAATTTCTCTTGTTTGCCACTGGCAGGCGGATTCCGCTAGAGGAAGTCCCAGAAGATGAGCAGGAATGTTCTAACTGGCTTCACAAGCTGTATCAAGAAAAGGTTGGTTTTTTGTCTAGACAGCATTTGTGAGCCACTCGTGCTCAATTGTTTGTACTGCTGGTGTACGTGTGTGGTGGCCCTGCTTTAGGGGTTTTGGGCTGGTTTGTTTGTTTTTCAGGAGAAGTGCTCTATTTCTCCAGGCAAACTGGTCTTGCACTGTCAGTCATGGTTGCTTTTATTTTGCAACAGAAAGAGCAACAGAAAGAAAACTTACGCAAGCCTTTATAGAACAGTTTTAAAACTCTTCTTTAGAAAGCTGCATTAGGATACATAAAACCGCAACTACCTCCTGGTTGGTAGAAGGCCTCCCTTTCACTGAAAGGCACCTCCTAAATCAAGAAGTAATTTCTGGGATAAATGAGGTATATTTTGCTTTAGTGTATTACAATTTTTGTCCCTTGTTTTTCCCTTTTCTTTTTTACCAAAGCAAAGCTTCAACAGTAATAGGACAGGCTGATAAATTGCTTTCACGTTGTGTGCGTAGAAGGCATGCATCTAAGATTCCTAATTACATAAGATGGGGGCAGAATAATAATGACTGTGTGTTTGTAGATGCTGCTGATTTTGATTTTTATTTTCCAAATACTTCCATATGCATTATTCAGACTTTCAGAATCTGTTTCTCATGGCTTTTGTTTTTATGAACATAGGAGATAATGGTTGAGGGATGCACTCTTTGAATAGATGCAGCAGTCCCATTTCAGTCAGTGGGAGTCATAGGTATGCAAGGCATGAGGGCCTGGCAGCTCCATTTGTTTCAATAAATTGATCTAACTTATGTATTCAGACTGGAATACAGCAGTGCTTTGGATTTAGAAATGATAGAATATAGCTACTCTGGTTTCCTCTCACTGGGGTGGCAAGGTTTCTGCTGTGCTGTTTGCTGTACTCTATACAGAACACCATGTTAGCTGGATGTTGCGAAAAGTCCACTATCTGCTACTGTAAGTTGATCTGTAACCCTGCTTCATTTTCCAGAGAACTGTTTAGACCTTTGCAAGACAAGGGTATATCAAATGAGAATGTGGTTATTGTTTTCCTAAGTCCCTTATTACATAGTTTGCAGTAATTACTTTCAAGTTTTTTCTATTATTCCCTTTTTGGTGAACACTCGGTTATTTCTAGTACAGAGGGTACAACTGTCCTGCGTTCTTCATAAAAACTGTTTGCTGATTGGTTAAATCCGTAATTTCCTATTTAATATAGGAGGAAGGAATGTGTGTTCAGTTTTCCTCTCCATTAAAACCTTTTTAGATGTGGCATTTTTTTTAATGCTTAGGGTTTTTTTTGTTTGATGGTTTTGTTTGTTTGTTGTTTCTTTTTTCTGAAGGTGGTATGTTCCTCTTCAGCTGTTTTGCATTAGTGAAACTGTTATTTCATTGCAGTCATTCCCACTCTGTGCAAGCCCGTGTCTCTGTAAAATCAGAGTGGGAGAATGTAGAGCAGGGACAACTTCATCAAAAGTTCCAAGATTATGAAAGCCTATCTGCAGGGTAATACTGCAATTCTGTTTCACCTTTCTGCCATGCATCTCTAAAAAGATAATTGGTCTTAGGTTGGATAGCAAGCAGCATTGCCACCTACATGTTGTTTCCAAAAATGAAATCTGTTTCAGGCTAATGTCTTCAGAGTCAGTAAATATTTGTGATAAAATGTAACAAAGCTGTCTTCAAAGGGCAGTAATTAATTACAACATACACACTCATCCCCTGCTTTGTGTATTTTGGTTGTAACACTCCATTTGCTGTCTCAAAGTAAGGTAAGTATGCATACTACTGAAAAACAGCCCCTGTTTTATCTTGCATTATGGTTGCATGAACCACTGCTTATTCTAAATGGGTTTTATAATTTTCCAGTACCTTCTCAAGACTTGCATGCTGTGTGCAAGTATGCTAGTTATGCTCTAGTAGCACGATTTAGTAGCAGGATTGTGCCAAAGGCAGGGAGGTCAAGGCTGGAGCGCTGTGTACTTGTGGTGACAGGGCCACAATGCTGTTTGAATGAGTAATGAAATTAGCAGTTTAGTGGACATGAAGGGACATTACTTTTATTTTTTTTAAACTATCGTGACTAAAGGAGTGAGAGTCTGAGTAAAGCTTGTTCTGTTCGTTTTACCTCATTGCCTGATCTCAGTTGCATGTGCCTCTGAGATGCTGCTCTGTGGGAATCTGGTGTGTTTGTGTCCTTGCTACTTACCTTCAATTTCTGCTTTAGCCACTGATGAAAATGTAGTGAACAAGGGCTTTGCCGGGTAACAGTGGTACTGTGCTGTTCTAAACCAAACACGTCCATGTACTTCTTCCTCACCTTGGGTGAATTTTGTAATTTTTCCTTCTACAGATGGCCAGCACTGTATCAGTTAATACCAGATTATGACAGAGGTGCGATTTGAGTTGCACATTGCCTTTTCTTGGGGTTTTATTCCTTTTAATGTTGTTTTTTTGAGATGCAATTGTTAGAAAGATTCCCTTTGTAACAAGGACCAGGCTGAGCATCTTAGTGCCTCCTCTGAAGAGGTACTGTATAATAGCCACAACCTGGCAAGCCCTTGCATGTTTGTTTTCTTTTTTCACCTCCTTTCAACCTCAGCACCTGAAATAGAAGTTCTGCTTGAGAACCTTCATTTCCATTAAAAAGAAATCGAGCTTCTAAACTCTTCTCACTTGTAAAAGAAGCATAGAAAGCAGGGCATGAAAATATATTCTGAAATGCCCCAGGGAACTAGCAAAGCACGACTGAAGAGGGGAAGTGCACAGAATGCCTGTGTTTGGGAACAAAGGATGTATTTTTGGATACTACATTCTTTATGGACTTCCCCATGAAAGACCAGAGGCATACCTCTGCAGTCAGACCTCCCTGGTGGGAGCGGGGTTGAAGAATCCAGACAGCTTATCACAAGGTGATGTATGTTTCCCAGTTTCCCCACACCTGCCTTACACACCTCACTGTCTGAAGTAACACAGATTTGGTGGAGGCGTTAGAGTGAGCATGTTTTGATGTCCAGATATGGTACTTGGTTAGTTGGGGTTTATTACAAACTGAAAACAAGTTCTGTGTGCAGAAATTAAATGAACTTGATGTGGGCAAGGTGACTGAGGGAAATTTTGAGATCCATCATGGGTTTAAATGCTGACTTGAGCTGTTGATGGGAACCATAGGCATTCTTGCAAAAGCTTAGAAGACTGATCAACTCACAGATCTCTTCTGCAAAAAATAGGAATGTTTTTAAGGGTAAGGAATCATAACTGAATTGAAGAGCTATTCGCCACAATGTAAAACGTGTAGCGGAGGTGATGGCACTGACATTATTTTGCCCCTGCCTCAAACCTCTTGGTGAGATGTGTCAATGGTTTTGTTGTTTCTAATCCTGCACAGAGCCAAGAAAGAAAACTGCTGCTTGTTTGAAGCTAGACTGCCTGGCTCTCTGTAGTAATAGGCCCCCTGATGGTGATACCAATAATAGTTGGAAGTTCTTAACTTTCCTGGGAAATACTGGTGTTTAGAAACCTAATTGTATAAAGTAAAATTTAATTTACTGATGATTAGTAGCTCTGTGTTAAACCACTCATAGACCAAAATCCTCTGTAGGCACTGTAAAGAAAACTTCATACACTGTAATTTATTGAAGACAGCTAATTAATGTGCCATAGTGATCCCACTATAGTCTAGCTCACATGTACAAAACACTCATAATCTTTCTAATCTCAAAAAAAGACAGTGCAATGCTTTAATTACTGTGTAATCTCTTAAAAGCTGAATGTTCCCTTTGAAATAGATAAAATGGTAGCAGACTGTAATTGCTCAAGTTGCCATTAAATAAGTACAGAATTGTCAGCTGGAGTGTAAGTAAATGTAAAATCATAGCACAGTAGAAATAATCTTATGGTTGATTAAGGGAATCTTGGCTTTACCAGAATTTTTGGAAACTTGTGAAATACTCCTTTCTTTGAAGAAATTTAATACCTCAGTCTGACTAAATTGAGATTCCTTTTTATGTCTGTCTAATTCTGAATTCATTAATTAACCAGTTTTATTTGATAACACAGATTAATAATGTTTGCTTTTGAACCAGTAGGAAGTTTTTTACCCCACCTACTCTGGTATCTTGTATTGATCGCATCACTGAAGGCATTGCTGTTCACCCATACAGCCTCTAGAGGAGGATACTCAATTCTGTATTGTGCTTTAAAGAGCACGCTCCACAATACAAAAAAAAACCAAACCATGCCCTATTATCTTCCTCATATTATATCAAAAGGGACAGTCCTTTCAGTCAAAAACAGTGATAGATTCTAACCTGTTTGCATGCTCAAGTGTCTGTAGAGAGGTGCAGCACCCACATTTTCTTCCCGTAAGCTTCATGGGAACAAGATGAACAACACTACGTCTATGGGACAAAGCAGACAGGAGAGGGTGATATTCTTTGGAGTATGGGACAAAATGGTGCGTGCTCACTTTTCTGACAGGGGTGCGGATGCTGTTTTAGAGCAGTGGTTGGAGAAAACATTATCAAACAGAGGGTCGGATGCAGAACATGTAGCTCAAAAGCCTTTCTGTCTTACTGACAGTGTTTGGCCAGGGGTTGTGACTCTTGCAGGAGGTTCAAGGGTGATGTCTGCATTGCTGCAGGAGTATACATCCTTCACCCTTCATGTTTTACTGGGCTTGTTATACTCTCCAGGCACACTACTTTTCAGTCTTCTTTGTGTAAGAGAAGGAAAAGATGTGCACATCAGTGTAAGCTCTTTTTTTTTTGACTGTATGTTCATTGACTTCAAAGTACAAGCTTTCCAGCCATGATTTGGTCTTTGATCTGCCCCCTATAGTTACAAGCCCGCAAAAAAGAGAAATATCAAAGTCAGGAATGGCTAGTTTTGTTGGCAAATGGGATTTAATTGTTGCCCTCCTTTGTCCTACTAGGATGCATTCCAGGAAGAATATTACCGAACAGGAGCCTACCCAGAAGTCCCTATAGTACCACCCCGACGACCATGGACGCTTTTGAACTGGCTTTTCTGGGCCTTATTGCTGTTATATCCCTTATTCAAGCTGCTCATCAACATGATCAGCAGTGGATCATCACTGACACTGGCTAGTTTTGCATTTGTCATTGTAATGGGTAAGTTTTCTGAAAGAGAAAGATTACTTATAGAGTAACTGTTAGATAATTTACTGAGGCTTACTATATATAAACGTGTGAATTCAACAAACCAGCTGATACTATGTCAACTTTAGCCTGGAATAGGTTAAATAGATAATTTTTGTTCCTTTCTTTGTTTTTGAATAGTTGTATTATTTTTTTTTAAAAGCTGCATACAAAATTCTGTCTTCCTGTAGAAATCAAATCAATAACTTTCCAGTGGGTTGCCTACAAAAGGCTTTCTTTTCTTGTATTGTGTGTTGCTGGGTTGCACTTTGAATGCCTAGAAGAGGTGCTCAAGGATAATTTATTCTGTTGAGAATTCTTTCAGCTAATCGTAATCTGATATGTTGCCCACTGGAAATCCATGAATTTGTGACTTAAGGACAACCTGTTATGGCCATCTACTCTGACTTTATGTAGCAGCAGGACATCATAGACTATCACAGGTGACTCCTACAGTTCCTGTGGTAGTTCTGGACTGCCTTGGTTTGGGTTTAAACTACTATGTTATTTAAGAGGTGGAAGGAAAACAAAATGAGGAGCTGACCAACAGAAAGGCAAGGAGGTCTTATTTGGTGTCTTGTCACAGAAGCAGGAACCAGGTCAGTTTGGCAAATTTTTTTCATATCTGGGTGTCTGTGCTTTTTTGGTATATTGGGTGCTGTTTGAAGAGTAATTTCCAGAATAACCCATACATTTATAAAGCAAATATTTTCTATGGTTGCACTGACCATCACATGTATTTATGGCTTCATCATCTTAATGCCTATGTGTATTGCAAACATCCTTTGAAAAAGAAACAGAACTTCACAGTCCTTCTGGCTCTGGGTGAACTTGGATGCAGAGATATTAGAGTTGGCTTAAAAAGCCATGTCCAAAAGAGCAACACAAAGGAAATAGGAAAACATTGCGCATTTTCTTGTCTCAGAAATGCATCTTTGCTCTCTACCTAGGAGATTGTTCCTAACACATTATATTTCTTTGCATTCTCAGAAGTCTGAATCTTGAGCAGGTCCCATGCTAGTCTGCTCAGGGTGAATTACCTGCTGTCCCTTTGTCCATCTGTGAAGAGCTTGGTATGGTAGGCACACAGTATTCTTTTTCAGAAGGTGCCCACCAAATCAAACTCTACATAAGATATTGTGGAAGCTGTTTATAAAAATAATTGGAGGAGAAAGAATTTGTGTGTGTATACACACACAGGCAGTTTGCTTCATGATGCTTTGGACCAGAGGAAGGAAAACAAGAGCAAGTAACATAGTAGTTGGTACATTAATATGGTCAAAGTAGAGGGAAAAGGAGGGGAATCCTGTGCTGCTTTTCTCACCTGGAGAAATTGTTTTTACCCTGGGAATGTTTTATGTAAAATCATAGAATCACAGACTGATTTGGGTTAGAGGGGACCTTAAAGATCACCTAGTTCTAATCCCCCTGCCATGGGCAGAGACACCTTCCACTAGACTAGGTTGCTCAAATGTGTAAGAATTTCTTGGAGCAGTAAAGCACCTTTTCACCCACTTGTACTCCCTGCCAACACACATGCCCCCCCCCCCCCCCTTCTCTGACCAGTGAATAGTGAAGAGTAAGCACCACGGTTGTGGTGTGCCCCTCAGGAACGGGCGATGCTAGATTCAGATCCCCTTCAGTTGCAGAGAAAGGTCAGTTGTCTCCCCTGTGCTCTAAGAAAAAATGGGTACACAGCAGTGGGCAGGATGAGGTATGACACCATTGCAAATACTACATCCCTGGCAACGGCACTCATATTACTAATATAAATACAAATAATATATATATTATATATAATGTATATTTTATATATATATACACAAAATATACATACAAATTATATATAAATACAAATTACAAATTATAAATACAAACTGGCAAATAGGGCATTTGTTCTGCCTTTGGAAGGAATGCTGGCATAGTCTGTGTTTGGTACTTGGCTTTGGAACGATGGCCTAATGGGGCACTGAAGCTTAGCCACTGCAATTTTATTTTCTCATCCTTCCTTCAGCATTTTCTTTTAATTCAGTTTCTCCACTCAGCAGGCTAGTTGTCTGGGTGCTGTTCCAAAGTGCCTTATGCCTTGTGTACCCTCCACAGGGAGCTTTGCTGCATAATTCAGGTTTCTGGATTGAAACCTCAGACCTGGATGCTTTAATGCTTGGCATTGTGGCATCTGTGATGTCTTTGGATATAGTCCTTATTAATTTAAGTGACACCACAACCCTCACTGCCCTCCCCCCTGCCCAAGTCCAATACCATCTTGCCACTAAGGACCCTTACAACTAGGTCACATCTTCTCTATCAGGAAGTGAAGGAAAGAACCTGTATTCTTTCCTTGTATTAGTCCCCACTTAGATTTTTTCTGCTTCTAGACACAAGGAAAGATTAATAAGCAAGCTGCTATGAATCTTCTTTTGAATGCAGTGATAATCCAAAGGACTAGTTTGAAGGTTATCAGTAACGCTGGAGCTAACAGAGAACTACAGCAGCAAGCAGTCTGCTGCCAGAATGAACATATGAGCTCCCAGGCTGCAAAAGCACAGCTGAAGAACGCAATACGAATGGCGAGATTAATGGCCCACTGTGTGATGTGCGTTGCTGCCCCATACATACCCGCCACATTTGTGGGATGGTGCAGGTCGCAGTCCTCCGCAACCTTTGGAAGACCTCTGTGCTTAGCAATAGCTCTGTTCTCACTCTGAATACCTGAATACCTGGTGTGATCAAACCCAAAGTGCTTGTAATTGGCCAGGATTTGCAGCACAGTGGAAGACACTGCACTGCTTGTAGTAGAGGCTTGTCACCTGATCAGACTCAGCCTGCTTACAAGCAGATTAAAAAGAAAGATGCTGTTGTCACTTATTAGCAGATAGCAGCCACCGTGAAGCTGTGGAAGGAGGAAAATCTGTGTGAGTGGAAGGAAGCTCAGCCTTCAGTAAAAACAAGCAGAAAGAAGAGCTGGTTTGTCCTGGTCACTTAAAAGTGGGTATGTCATAACTTGCCAAAAGAGCAACAGTTCACTTTGTATGTTACAGTCTGTTCCTGTTTTATTGTATACCTTTAAAAGCAGTCCTAATGCATGGTTCTGAGTTACAGGCTGGGCTTAAACCACAACATGGTTGGAATCATTGCTCTCTTTCTGTGGAAACATCTCAGAACTTCAACCCAAGCTGCCACATTGACATTTCTAGCCTATAGCTGAGTTTATGTAGCAAGGCCGTTCTCCCCAAACTGTGTTTTATATCCCAAGGCATATCTCTGTCATGAATGTCTTGGACCAGATGCAGCCACCTGCTGACAGAGGAGCAAACAGTATGTTATTTTGCAGTTTATCTCCAGCTTTAGGCAAGGTCTCAGAAGTGAATTCTGCAGTGGCTGGGCAGTAGAGGTACATGAACACAAATGCACCTTGGAGGTTGTGACTCTTGGTTTGTTGGGAGCTGGTTTGTAGGGAGCACTATACTCGCTGTCCTTTCGAGGGTGAGCAGTAATTGGTACCTGGTGGCTTAACAGTGCAAAAGGAAGTTTTTTCTGTGAACCAGAGGAATTTATTTAGCATTGGGGTCAGATGATGAAAATGCTGTTTCACATTATTCTTAGCAGACTTCTTCCTGCAGTTTAACTGAAGCAGCACAGTTAGCGTTTGGGATGTTGCTTTTTATATGGCAGTTTGACAGCTCACCTGATTACTCCAGGATCAGGAAGCTTACTGCAGTCCCTAATAGCCTATTATAAGTAGGCTGCTGTTTCTAGGAGCAGATTTCAGTACCTGATAACCTTTGTTACAGCACAAGATATGCATACACCTCCTGTGATAGTGAAGAGGGGAGGAACTAGGAAGTCCTTTTATCTGGTACCCTCTACTTTGTTTCGAAAGTGACATTTCTCTTTTGGAGAGTGTTTGCCAGTTGTGCTCTCCCAATAAAACACTGGACTTGTAAAATGCTGGACTCCAGTAAAATACTGTTACTCGTAAGTAATGGTGGTCAAGCTGGAGTGAAAGCACTGTGATCCCTCAGACCCTAACTCTTGGATCCAATGAATGAATAACCAATGTATATATAGCTCTGCTTGTTCAGCTCAAACACTGTCAGCCCTAAATAAACGATGTCTCCTCTTTATACTGAGAATGCTGAGCCATCCCCTCTTGCTTTGCAGCAGTTTGGCTATTTATACTCCTAATAATCACTGCATTGTGTGAATATTGAACTACTGGTCTGGAACCAGGAGCCCTTTATGATACTACTTGAACAAGTAGTATCATAATACAGGCCATCCCTGCTCCAGAGAAGAAATACTGAAGTAGTTTTGAGGGCCAAAAGTCTCTTTTGAAAACTGGCTTTGGTTTCATAGGATGCATGGCAAGACATTTATGTACTTAGTTCACAACTGCTGTTTAAAACTTGGGGCTGATATTTTGGTATTGAAGTAGTGAGCGAGTCTGTCAAATGCCAGTACTTGACAGCAGCTTTTGTGTTTTTATCTCCTCCTGTTCCCCAGTTTCATTTGGCTTCAAAGAACCCAGTGTTAAGTTGCCTTTCATGTTTTGGTAACATGTGTGGAAGAGGACAACCTTCATCCTCCAGAAGTATTTTATTATAGAGCTGTCAGCAGCAGTTAAAAGGGAAATGTTGGCTCTGCGTGAAAAGATGAGAGGGCTTCTCTTGGCTTTTAAATGAAAAAGTAGCTCTTATGCATCTAATGCTAAAAGCATAATGGCATGGGGCCAGCCATTAAGTATCAGTTATAGGCGAGAGAAGTATTTCATTTGAACCAAGTGTAAGTAGTAAGGAGACAGCTGTGATTCTGCAGGAGTTGTATGCCTGCTCTACAGTGTGTGCACGGCACTATTGGAAAACCCGTTTCCATGGATCACAATACAAGCTGTGAGTGCTTGGTGACTTGGCAGTGTCCAAGTGCCGAGTGTGGACTGATGGGTTGGAGCATGGTGTGATCTGGGTAGCAAGGCTGGACAAGAGGTATCTGGGTGTACCAGGGGAGTTTTGGACTGGATATTAGGAAAAATCTGTTTGCATTGAAACAGGCTGCCCAGGAAAGTGGTGGAATCACTGTCCCTGGAAGCGTTCAAAACACATCTAGACAAGGCCCTTAGCGATGTGATTTAGTGGTGGTCTTGGCAGTCCTGGGGTAATGGTTGAACCTGATGATCTTAAAGGTCTTTTCCAACCTAGTAGATTCTGTGATTCTAAAGCTGTTGATGTCTATAGGCTGAGATGAGTAGGAGGTACGAAGAGCATGAGCCAGCGACATTTTAGTAAGTTGTACAGCTGGATACAAACAGTGAGCAGGATTCTGCCAGTGTTGATTCTGCCTGTTGGCCTTTCAACCTGGTGCTTAAAACAGGTACTTTTTTTTTTTTTTTTATTCTCCATCATAGTGGGCAAAATAGGGCCTCAATGGAAATTTCTACCATTCATATAAGCTTTAGTTGTACAGATCTGCATTTCAGTGTATAACTCAGGTGTACAGCAGACTATACAGAGAAAATTCTCATGCCCCTACCTGCTGTGTTGTTTATGGCACTTTCTGTGTGGTACAAACCCCAGGTTAAAGATAAGAAATCCTGAGGATTGAGAGAAAAGGTGGGAATAGATACGGTTTTGCTGGAGAGATGTAGGCTGGCAGTGCAGCTCATCCCTCCCTCAGCCCCAGCACTCCGGCAGGCAGAGCAGGTCCAGCCTCCTGCTTCTTTTGGCTGGTGTGTAATAGTGGCAGAAAGATGGCAGGAGCTCAGTTACCTTCTGCGGTTTGCTGTGAAATGAGGATCAGTAGTATGCTCTAAGGCGCCAGGATAGCTGTGGAGAGGAGGCTGGCAGTGCAGGGAGAAACCACTGAGGGCTCAGGGTGAAATGAGGACAGAGGGGCAGCAGCACCTTCTATCAGGGAGCAAAGGAGAAATAAACACCAATAAATCTGAATTGCTGAACCATGTAGTTTTTGGTGTCCAGGCAGTGGCATTCTTGGAAGAGGATGAAATCCCCAATGTGCTGTGTGGTTGCTGTAACAGCTGCTCTTTATTTATGTTCCGTTTCTATTTATACGCTGTTTCTATCCCTTGTGGTTAAAATCTTAATGATTTCATGCTTACTATTATGCTATGATCCCAGACTGCAGGTCATTTTGGATCTTCCTCTTGTCTTCCTTAGCTCATGGCCAGTTAAATGTCAGGGATGTTTTTTTCTAGTCTGTTTGTAAGAGTGAAACCCTTCACTTGTCCCAGCTGTGTATTTCCATTCAGGAACTAGCAGTGGTTCCCAAGGAGCCATCTCTCTTTTTGGTCTGTTTACCACTCTCTGGTCTGCCTCTGAGAGGACCCTGCTTTCCTGTTGTCTGGCATCCAGAAGGCTGGAGGGCAGCCCCACAGGCAGCCCAGCTTCCCCACTGCACCTCTGTCTTTTCAGCCATCACTAAATTGACTATAAATTAGCCTGGCCTCTTATAATGGACTGTTTCATGGCTGTAGTTAAAATTGCAACAATTTTTGTCCATCAAGATCTGAAGTGTCCTTGCACTTGCTCCTACTCTTCCAGGCACAGGGGCTGTTGAAGGCAAGCAGAGTTCCCTTCCCCGCCACACCTCGCATGCAGACACATTAGTACATTTTGACACTCGACTGGGGAGCCAGGTAATCCCAACAGCCCCATTTCACAGCCAGCCTTGTTCAGGGTTTAACAGGGCTGAGCATACCATGCGTGTGCCTCTCACACCAATGTTGGACCATGCAGCCTCTTCTCTGCTGGGAGAAGGGATGTGTGTAGGGACCTATGACCTTCCTTAATGAAATACTGTAGGCAAACTACTTGATGGCGATGAATGGGGCTGTACCTTTCAAAGGTCAAGTAGGGGTAGTTACCTTTAATGCTGTGCTGCTGTAAGGCTGAGAACACTAACAGTCTTGTTCAAAATGCTACACGTGTACAGATCTTCAGTCTTTGCAAGCAGCGTCTAATTTTATTGTTACTTCTTTTGCAGCTTCTGTCGGTGTCAGATGGATGATAGGCGTTACAGAAATTAACAGGGGTTCCACCTATGGCAACAATGACAACAAGCAGAAATGAAAGTAGTATCTTCAGAGACTGCTTCAATCCAAAGGGAACAAATCCAACTTCTGAAAACTCTTAAGTGTGTATCATGGTCCTTCAAGTGAGAGCAGAGGAAGCATAGGATGAGCAATTGCCATGCATATCTGAATTTGTGCTCCTGTTATTTTTCTCTGGGGGTTTGGGCTGGATGACACACTTGAAAGATGCACTCCTTTGTCTACTTGCCACAGCAAGTTTGCATTTGTTTGGCTGGTTTGTTTCCCTATAAACTGTCTTAAGTTTTGAAGAAGAAAAAAAAGTAATTCCAGTGTACTTGTATGATGAGAGATTACCTGGAAACTAACCAGAGGTGCAGGCTTTATCTTTCCTAACCTGCTCTAAGGAATGGACAAATGTCAGAAGATTGTTACAAGATGATTAAAATTGGTAGTTGTCTAGATCACACGTTAACAGTTTAACAACCATATTCTGTCAGTGTTTAAATACAGTAAGAGGCTCTGCTTGGTTATACCAGCACTAGACTGAAGCAGCTCTATTGAACTGAGAGAATTGCAAGTAGAGGTTTTTCTACATCTAGAACTTACTCCCATAGTGGGCACCACATGGGGCCTTTGAAACCTCAGCCAGACCCCAGACATCCCAACATCGTAATCTTGCAGTGGCATAACCTGGAGTGGCATTTAGCCTTGGGGCCATTTGCAGAGCTAAGAGTTACCCACTGCCACATTTTCCCCAGGCGATGTATCAGAGGGACAACTAAAACCTGTAATTCTTTTGCGAGTAAATAAATGCCATTTATAGTTTGGAAAAACGGAGGTACTAAAATTCTTTTTCATCTTTAAACTGATTAAAATTCTAGGCCTTTCTAATAGTGGTGGAAACAGAACAACTGGGTATGCTGTAACGAAGTAATGCAAAGCACATTAAAAGTTATGCCCCACACCCCTACTACTGTTGTGATCCCTATTAATCTGCTTGTCTGTCATTTTCGGTTAGTTTACACAGTGCCTCATAACAGTCACCCTGAGGTAACAGCTAAATTATCTTTTGCCTTTTTTTTGGGGGGAGAAGAGGGGAAGTATTAGACAGACCTAGGACAGTGACAGTGCTTGGGACTTTTTATGGCTTTCTGGACTTTGACACCCTTCTCAGTTAAATAAATCTAGAATCAAGCACCTGTGTTGCTCTGACATCCCAGGGCAGCCTTCTCCTGGTTCTGAACTTAAGGAGTTAAGGGTATACAAGTTACTAAAAAGAACTCATTTAAAAAAAGAAAAAAGGAAAGAGCAGACTTCAGCTACTGGCAATTATGATTTAAAAAACCCCAAATCTCTGAAATCTAAAGATACAGATGCTGAGCAGGGGCAATCAGGATTGGCACTTTCAATGATGGTACATTTTCATTGTGCATAGGACTAAACTGTGACAGACTAGGAGTAAACTGTCTGTGTGAGCCCAGAGAAGAAAGTCTTAGTTCTAGCAGCTGATACTAAAAACATTTCTCTTTCCCTACAGTAAAACAGAGGCCAGAAGAAATGGGGGCTAATACAACAGCATATGAATCATTCCATGAAATACACGTTTGCTCTTCAGATGTCAGACCATCTTGAAACTACTGTCTTTAATACACAGCACCTAAAGAGCAGGTGCAGTAGTGCTTTTAGTATGGGACAGAAAGTAAAGATTTTTGATAGTAGAGGCAATAAAAAGTATAACATGAAGGAAGGAACAGGCCTTGGGACATGTGAGGGACTCGTTCTGGGGGCTTTTTCCCTGTCTTGTGTACACACACATCCCCTATGCTCTGAAGCTTTCTCAAAGAAGTGTATGAGGTCATGAACATAAACATGGGCTTTAGTGTAGTTTTTCCAACACAGGAGATAGAACCCAAAATCAGAAAACACTGCCATGCTTATAAAGCTGTTCTTTTAATCCTAACAGTGGAAAACTGAGTATTACAGCCTGTAGTAGTGTCTGACAATCCAGTTATCCCACAGTAATACAGCAGGCCATGTTACAGAGCCAGGCCTGAAGCCACTGTACACAAGACACTGAATGTGGGTGGGATGGGAGAGAAGAGCATTCTCCAAGCTAGTGTTTTACTATAACTCTTACCTGGCAGATGCAGTGGACTTCTGTCAGGGTTAAAGAATGATCCTGTATGCAGGGCAAGTAATTCTGAGCAGCAAATACACATTCATGCAGTGACAGAGAGTAGCTTTTTTGCCTTTTTCAAGAGCCACTGGTGAAACATGCTGGCAGGGTGACACTGAACATTCCTTATGACTCTTAGTCCCTTCCTCTCCAACTGCATGTAGTGCCACTTCTCCCAGAGGAAAATACCAACCATGTAAATACTTCTGAGAAAGTATTTAGGCTATTCCTTATCCAGTTCCCTGGGACATGCCGCTCCTGGATCTGTCCTCCTAAGCACTTGTGGCAGTCCCAGCACCTGAGGACTGCAGCACTGGGCCCTGCCAGCATCCACTGGCAAACAGAGCAAGAGTACTGGAACTTGCCAAAGTAGTTATACTAGTCCAGTTCACTGTATTAAAAGAATGATGTATGTCATCAGGAAGCAGTGTTTGCCCCGTGTCCCCACAAGCAACTATATGTTCTACAACTGCCTTAACAAAAGTAGTCTTAACATTTGTTTATACAAAAATAAAAGTATAAAAAGCTAATGTGGAGTGAATGAGTTTTCTTTTGGTTGGCAACAAGGAACTAGTTAAGAGTTTACTTTTCACCTTTATCTTGACTCCTAAGAGCTGGCCACAGTTCCTGTTTCTGTACAGGGGCACCTGAAATGAGGCACATAAGGACACAAACCACTCAGTCACTTCTGATACACCACAAAGGGAAGCGCACAGCAGGCTGGAGAGGTTACTTTTACCTCTGGTCATAGTCTGTTGCTGAGGATGACAACGTACTTTCTCCTGTCATAACTGAAAACAGAGACCTGAAGAGAGGGGAGAGTCTTTACCTTCAATGGTGACCTGCACACTGAGACTCATCCTTTTCTAGATTTAAATGTCAGATTTCACAGTACCTTAGCAACAGGTCACCCACCTGCTAAAAGCTACTGCACACCTGAAACAAACCAAGGCACTGTGGGTTAAGAGGAGAAACAGGACTTTAGAATAAAGCCAAGCAAGTAAGTTCTCTGTTTTATAAGCAAGTTACCCATTTTAAGGTCTAATGCTGAACAGGAATATGGAAACTTGCACTAATACTTACAAGTAACAAGTAAGTTTTAAGTAAGTCATCTGTTTGCACTAGCAAGTTAAAATAATCTAACTAGATCCAGTGTTACAGACTGTTTCTTCTAGTTGTTAATCACTTCTAACCTCTCTGCGTTTTCTCACACCAGTGACAGCTGGGGGATGGTGGGGACATCAAAGTCCAGGATCAGAAATCGGTTTTAAAAAGCTAACAGTAAGTTCTTGGTTTTGCCACACGAACCACAGGAACAACCTTAACTGATTCCTTGGCCACAGAAGTGCTCCCTCTTCACAGTACTTTCATTCCAGAAGAAAGTTACTTCAGACCATGACTCTTTCCCTTAGATACTACACAGTATCAAGAGCTGTACATCACCTTATTTCCTCAGGAGAGGACGAAGGGGTGGGGACACAGCACCTTAATTCTATTATCAACTATGTAAGAAGCGTATCTTGAACTTGACAAAATGTGACCACTGCAATATAAAAGAAGCTTATTCCAGTTGGGTTAGCTTAGCAGTCTCAAACAGGCATTGAAAAAAATTCGTTTAAAATGTGACACAACCCCACATGCTTATTTTCAGAAGAAAACCCCTTCACCAACAACTCCTAAAATAAACCATTTATTGGGAAAAAACTTCTTTTAAAATTTCATTAATCAGCCTTTTGCATAACAAATCTGAAGCTTGCCAAAAAACAAATAAACAAAAAAATCCCAGTAAAAGTTCACAGTCAGTGCACTCAACAAACGGATTAAAAAACAAGGTCCATAACGCCTGATAACACTACAGCATTTTTCTGAACCTAATGAGTTCAAAAATACTAGGTATTAACATTACAGTTCTCAATCAAATGAGAAACGGGAGCAAGAACAAAAAGGGTATGGTCCATATACAGTAGTAATGGCACTTTCACTGAAACATGCAGCTTCTTCCACCTCGCAGACACTGTCACATGAGCAACATGTGCCAAGTAAAACATACAGGAGCAGCAGAGAAAGTGACGCTCGTCACTTGTGCAGTCTTCGTAAGTTCAACTTTTATACTGTTTCTCAGCACAGTCTTTATGTAAATATTACATACAGTAGTGATTAAAAGATATCTTGCCAGAATATAAAAGGCCAGAGGTTGAATGACTTCATTCTTCATCTGTGCAAACCTGTGAAGGGAACAGAAGGCAATTAATTCCATTGTCTCCCTGCTACAGCAAGACAACAGATCAGTTTCTTCAGCACCTTCACTGAACATCTTTGAAGTTTTCTTCATTCTCCTTTGTTACACAGATAATGAATTACAAGTGTTTGCACATGAATACCCATGTTTGCACTGTCACCATGCAACTAAACTTTAAGCTGGAAAATGAGAGAATTCAATAACCTGCTGTGCTCCCTGTTCTTCAAAAAAGTTACTAATACACCTGAATGTGTAGCTGTCATTATTTGCTTGTTCCTAAGCTAAGCATTAAACCCCACTTCATGCAGGAACTGCAGACTGTTATGCCAACTGCCAGGTGAACATTCAGCATGAATGTCATGTTAAGTATGAGCTTTAAAGAAAAACAGGCCCTTGCACTGAAGGCTGGTCAAGTTCTCAAGCATGTGCCTCTTTCCCTTTTTCTGGAGGGGACCCTTACTCTCTATACTACCCAAGTTGTGCATCTGTACGTGCTGAAGTTTTAGGGACAGAGCCCTTCAAGTAATCACCGCTGAGCTGAAGCTTGACAAGTCTTTCCAACATAAAGATACTGCATCTCAAAACAGCAGAAAAAAGTTCATGACATGGTGCGCACCAGGTTCTTTTAGTCAAATGTTTGCCAGCAGCATCACATGTGCTTCTGAGAAGTTGCCAAACCTTGTTTTCTGGACAGCATCAACCTGATAACCAACCTCCCACTGTAATCCAAAGCCCTGCAGCATAGCTGCAAACAAGGGAGGCAAAAAGTCTGGTTTTGATTCTATCTACAGTGTTTGTAGCCAAAGCCACGAGACAAACCTTGACAAAAGGATGATCGAGGAGTTGGCTGGCCGTCCACCTCATCTTTGGGTCGCTTTCCAGGCAGTGGCAAAGGAAGTCTTTCCCTTCTGGGCTCACTTTGTCAGGAATAGGAGGTTTATGACCCATCCCCACTTTATACATGATCTGGAAGTTGTGCTCATATTCGTGCCAAGGCCTCTGCAACAGGTAACAGCATTGCAAGGTTTAGTGAGTAACTTGCTATCCAACAGAGCATATATTTGTGACCCCGGGAAATTAAAAACCACCCCAGTACTTGCAGACTTCAGTGTGATAAATGGCAGAATTTGCAGAGAAACTGCTAGGAACAATCTGCAGTCATCCAGTATGTGAAACATCCCTACCTTGCCAGTGACCATCTCTATAACAACGCAGCCCAGGCTCCAGATGTCTGCTGCACGTCCATGCCCTTCTCCTTTAGCTCTAGTAATTACTTCTGGAGCCATGTATGCTTTGAAACAACACATATGATGTCATCAGTACATAGGGCAGAAGGAATGGTATACATTAAGTGATTAACTGGGTAAGCCAAATGCTTTTTAATACATCTGTAATGAATTACCACTCAGCTTTTCTTGCTAAGTTTTGTCATTTGCGCTCTCCTTGTTCTTGGACACATCGGCAGCATAACTCTCTTTCAATTTGAAAGGCGACTGTGAAAACGCTGGTACAATAACATGCTTTCAGTTGCTGTCATTTTAAAAAAAGCAGATTCAGGAGCTGTTCAATAAGAACAGCATTGTTCCAGTAAGGCTGCAGAGAAAGATGCAACCCCAGAAAACACAAGCTCCAGCACCTTTATAGTTACCAAACAAACACAACTTTATTTCTCCAGTGACATCATTCACTGATTGTTTTGGCTTCTGGATGTAAGGCACATCTAACTAGCTACTGTAAAACCAAGTTTCCCCCAAACACAGCATTTCACTCTGGCCCACACTTTTGGCAGAGGTAACTTCTTTTATGGTAGGTAGACAAGTGCTTGCCTAGCACAGGCTTCCTTACCTGCAGTCCCCAAGGTGCTGTTCACTTCTCCAGGCATTGTCTGGGTGTTGTTCTTCAGTTTCACTGAGCAGCCAAAGTCTCCTAGTTTAATCAGTCCAGATGAGGTAAGAAAGATGTTGGCTCCTAGGAAACACAACAAAAAACAGTAACACTTGTTAAACTGGTGTTGAACTGAGGAATGAGGGTTTCTCAATATACTCTTGGAAGTTACATGGCAGATAACAGCGAATTCACACTTGGGTCTTTACCTGTGGATTAAGTATAAAATACAACAGCATTAGAGACGTTCCCCAAAGGGTAGGCTACCAGGATTTTTGGTGGGTTTGCGTAAACACTAAATGTACTGGAAGTTAACAATAGGAAGTGTTCAAATCACAGAACAGTACAGCAGGCAAATTCATCAGCTTTCCACACATGCTCATTATGAGAAATGACTCCTCCAGGAATTTATGAATTCCAGTGCTTATCCTTGTGAATGCTGCACTGTGTAAAAACACCTGTCCTGAAGGAGCTTCCTGGCAGAGGCCATTGCTGTGCATCTCCCACTAGCTATCTCTGCAGTTCTGCAGTGTCAAGCCATGATATCATACAGCTGTGTCATCACAGCCAACTACAAAATGGAGCTTATAGCACTTTATTACATGTACTACCAAATACCCGCTCCTGTTGTGCTGTACTTCCAGAGGAACTTCTGGAGAAGGGCTACCATTACAATAGCTGGATACACTGCTAGTTTACACTAGAAAAAACTTCCCTAGCATAGCTGAAAAGTCTCCAAGAAGAATCTGCAAGTGCCTTCAAGTCACTTGCTCTACACAACAGTGCAAAATAAGCCAAGTGGTTTTCTTTTGTTCAACATCCTGCCAAAACACATGTTGAGAGCCAACAGAGAAGAGGTAGAGCAGAAGCAGCTCACTATACATGTCAGGTCAAGTCCTGGGCTCTGAAAGTACCACAATGAAACTACAAGTAGATTGCAAGAGTCAACATGGTATCAGCTGTGATCTCTATTAAGGAGAGATGGATGGTAGCACAGAACAAAAGTGTATGTCTGCTGTAGGAGCAGGCAAACATTGGGGACTTCATTACACACAGCCTTTTCCCATGTCACACAGAAAATTCTTTCAAAAGTGGCTCATCTGAATACAGCCTTCAGAATTTTCTCCCTTTCATTCCACCCTGAACAGAGGTCAGTGCAGGAATTCCCGGCTGCTCCTCCTTTGTGTTATGTTCTCTTAGTTAATGATTTTTTCCAGTTAGGTTGGCTGAGCATCCCCAAGATATTCACAGAAAAGAAAAAGAATCCTCAAAAAGCTCAAGTCAAAGACAACCGTGCAGGTCAATGATGCCAAAACCCTGCCTGCTTCTCAAAGGGCTTCTCTAACTAATATGAGAATGCTTGCTTTAGTTATCAAGATTTATTTAGTCCAAGAGGCATTGCACAGA